ATCCGGACGCATGTAGTATAATCGCCTTAGCGAATATTTGTTGAAAGAAGGCTATAAATATGACGATGTCTGCCCATGTGTTTTCATAAACAAAACAAATATTGGATTTACAATTGTGGCAGTTTATGTTGATGACTTAAATTTAATTGGAACTTATGAAGAGCTCAACAAAACTGCAGATTATTTGAAAAATGAATTTGAGATGAAAGATTTGGGAAAAATCAAATTCTGTTTCGGATTGCAGATTGAACATTTTTCAAAAGGATTATTTTTTCATCAATCTACATATACAGAAAAAGTTTTAAAACAATTTTATATGGATAATGCACATCCATTGGCATCACCTATGGTTGTACGATCACTTGATGTGAAAAATGATCATTTTCGTCCACTTGAAAATGGAGAAAAGATTCTTCGTCTTGAAGTACCATATCTTAGTGTAATTGGAGTATTAACTTATCTTGCAAATTGTACTCGGCCCGACATAGCTTTTTCTATAAATCTCCTTACAAGATATAGCTCTACACCAGCACAAAGACATTTGAAGTTGTTAAACATATTTTTCATTAGTTAAAGGGTACTATTGATTTAGGATTATTTTATTCTCAAAAGTCGGGATCTGTTTTAGTGGGATATGCAAATGCAGATTATCTCTCTGACCCACATAAAACCTAAATCACAAACATGATACATCTTTACACGTAGAGGAACTGCTATATCATGTAGATCTGTGAAACAATCCTTGACAACAACATCCTCAAATCATTCTGAAATTATTGATATCCATGAAGCAGGCCGAGAATATGTATGGTTGAGGAACATGACCCACCATATCCAAGTATCATGTGGATTAATTTCAACAATAGAAAGTCCAACAATTTTGTATGAAGATATTGATGTTTGTATTGCACAACTCAAAGGAAGTTATATCAAAAGAGACAGGACGAAGCATATTTCCACAAAATTCTTTCATACACACGAGCTTCATAAAAATGGCGACATAAATATTCAACAAATTCGTTCAAATGACAATGTGACTGATTTATTTACAAAAGTACTGCCAACATTTACATTCAAGAAATTGGTTCACAAGATTAGAATGCGTCAACTCAAAGATTTTCAGTGATCAATTGTACAAATAATCATCAAAGGGAGTGTTGTAAAATAATGAGAT